TAAATATATGTACTTTGATTGTTTCATCTCCAATACTTTAATTGTCATCTCCAATACTTTGATTGTATTCATTTTGTTACTATTAAAAACTTACTATTGAATTTAATCTTGTTGCTTGATAAATTGGGAAAAATAAAACATCATTCATAACACCGGTCTGTCTATCCTGGTCGGTCCGTCCCGCTCAGTCTCTCCCGGTCTGTCTATCCCGCTCGTCCTATCCCGCTCCGTCTGTCCCGCTCCGTCCGTCCCGGTCCGTCCCGCGCGGGGCACGCCGGGAGCGGGGCGGGGATCGCGCGCAGTCTCCGCTGGCCCAGCCCCGCCCCGTCCATCACCATCATCACCATCATCATCACCACCATCACCACCATCATCTCCTCCTCCTCCCGTGCCGTGCCGTGCCGTCCCTGCCGAGCCCGGCGCGGCCCGATGCTGCCGGCGGTGCCGGGGCCATGAGCCGCCCGTCCCCCGCCGGGCCCGGCCCTGGCAAGCCGTGCGGCAAGCAGCAGCAGCAGCAGCAGCAGCAGCAGCAGCAACAGCAGCAGCAGCAGCAGCAGCAGCAGCAACAGCAGCAGCAGCAGCAGCAGCACGCCCCGTCCCTCGCCGCCGTTCTGCCGGGCACCGGAGGAGTTTCTCCGCCGTCTCCTCCTCTTCCTCCCGCCCAGCAGCAGCAGCAGCAGGAGCTGACCTCGCTCTTCGAGTGCCCCATCTGCTTCGACTATTTGCTGCCACCCATCCTGCAGTGCCCGGCCGGACACCTGGTGTGCAAGCAATGCCGGCAGCAGCGGAGCGTCTGTCCCACCTGCCAGGGCTCCCTCACCCCCAGCATCAGGAACCTGGCCATGGAGAAGGTGGCCTCGGCTATCCTCTTCCCGTGCAAGGTAAGGATGAGGGGCTGGGCAGGGGCACCCCCCATCCCTGCTCCCCTGCCGAAGATCCCCACCCATCACCCCCATATCCATTTCCCCAGATCCCCCTGCAGAGGACACCCACTCACCACCCCAGTTGTTGAAACTAGAATCCTCTGTTCTTTTTAAAGAAAAGGAAAATCCAAGCCAGGACCTCTCCAGCTGATCTGGACGGATCAGATCTAACTGCAACAGCAGATCTAACTACAACTCAGCCATACAGCCCATTTTATCTAAGTGCTTCCTTTAGGAAAAAACAACCACAAAAGCCAAGAAGAATCCATTTTAAGTGGAAACAAAAACTCAGTAAAACTCAGCTTGAATCCAGGGCTACATACAAGTAATGTAAAATTTGCAGTGAGCACGAGAGCTCTGGTTGATCACCTGTGTTTCCAGCTGACGGGTGGGAGCAGCGAATACTCTGCTGCTGCCTTTCCTGATGGCTTGTGTTTGGTCTCTTTCCAGTATGCCACAACAGGCTGCTCCCTGGCACTCCACCACACAGAAAAGCCAAAACATGAAGCCATCTGTGAGTACCGTCCCTACTCCTGCCCGTGCCCTGGTTCCTCCTGTGGCTGGGAGGGATCCTTGGAAGCCGTGATGTCCCACCTCATGCATGCCCACAAAAGCATTACCACCCTTCAGGGAGAAGACATCATTTTCCTTGCCACAGACATTAACCTGCCAGGGCCAGTGGACTGGGTGATGATGCAGTCGTGCTTTGGTCACCACTTCATGCTGGTGCTGAAGAAGAAGTGTGAAGGTCACCCGCAGTTTTTTGCCACCGTGCTGCTCATCGGCACCCGAAAGCAGGCGGAGAACTTTCAGTACAGACTGGAGCTGCACAGCAGCTGCCACCGGCTCACCTGGGAGGCGTCGCCCTGCTCCATCCACGACGGCGTGTCCATGGCCATCTACAACAGCAACTGCCTCGTTTTTGATACAGCCACTGCACACATCTTTGCTGACAACGGAAACCTCGGCATCAACGTGACCATTTCCATGTGCTGCCCATGATGCATTGCTGGCAACACTCGAGCTGACTGGGTGGACAGCTTCACCAGGGTTTTGGTTTCAATTCCTGTTTTATACGCTGTTCAACTATGTCATCTTGTATGCTAAGGTTTCTGACTAGCCTTGTAACTAGACTTGTAACTTTGGGCAGAAGAGGAACAAGAGTGTGCTGTAAGTAACAGGAGCGGGACAAGGTCTTTTAAAATTCTTGGGTGCCTTAGGAAGATTATACACACACAGTTACCTTTTATAATTTAATAATATTTTATGTAAAGAGTGCTTCCATTAGATATGTGGCTTAAGTGGCTCATGTTTGGAGCACACCTAAAAGCCCTTTCAGCAGCAGTACAGACTCCCTCTGTCACTGGTGAGCTTTAATAAAAGACTTTACTATCACACAAGGGTTTGGTTTGGAAAAGACTATCATCTGTTCCAATCCTCCTGCCACTGTCCCAGGCTGCTCCAAGCCCTGTCTAGCCTGGCCCTGGACACTTGCAGGGATCCAGGGGCAGCCACAGCTGCTCTGTGCCAGGGCCTGCCCACTCTCCCAGGGATCAGTTGCTTACCAATATCCCATCTCATCCTGTCCACTAGCAGTGGGAAGCCATTCCCTGTGTCCTGTCTCTCCAGGCCCTTGTCCAAATTTCCTCTCCAGCTCTTTTGTAGCACCTTTTAGGCACTGGAAGGGGCTCTAAGTTCTCATATTTGCCCTTAGTGAAGCCACGGTGGTTATCACCAATCATCTCCTTATTTTCCACGTGCCTTAGCATAGTTTCCAGCAGGATCTGCTCCGGGCTCTTTCCAGGCACTGAGGTGAGACATGACCACCTGTAGTTCTCTGGATCTTCCTTATTCCTCTTTCTAAAAACGGGGTGGGGGGGGGGGTGTGTTATGTTTCCCCTTTTGGAGTCAGTGGGAACTTCTCTGGACTGTCACAAGTTCTCAAACATGATGGATAGTGGCCAAGCCACTTCCTCCACCAGTCCCTCTGAACCCATAGGTGCATCTGGTCAGGTCCCATGGACTGAACACCTTCAGGTCCCTTAGATCATCTCCACCCCATCCTTTCCTGCTGCAGGTGGTTCTTTGTGCTCCCACTCTGCCTTTCCTCCTGCCACTTGGGCAGTGTGGCTGGAGCAGCTTGCCATGAAGGCTGAGTCAGACCTGGCTGAGCACCTCAGCTTTCTCCACATCCCAGGGAACTGAGTTTTCCATTTCCTTCCATAGAGGGTCCACATTCTCTCAAGTCTTCCTTTTATCACTGGCATACCTACAGAGGTGCTTTGCTTGTTGCCCTTGATGCCCTTGGCCAGATTTCATTCTTTCAGGCTTTAGCATTCCTAACCTGATCCCTGGCTGCTCACAGACTCTCTGTACTCCTCCCTGGCTGCCTGTCCTTTCCTAGTAGGTGAGAAAGGAAAGAAACCCAAGCAACCTCTTCACAGGAGAAGCTGTGAGGGGAACAGTAGATTCTTCAGCAATACTTCTCCTGCTACCTTATGGAAGGGAGGGGCACTGGGCCAGCTGTGGTGGCTTTAACAGGAGAAAGGAGAGAAGGGGCTGGAGGATGGCACATTCCACAGAGCATGGAATTGCTGGCCCCTGTCTGCTTTAGGGGGATCAGGCCAGGTACAGGTGCAAGCAGGAGGCACAAGTCTCACAGGCTGCAGGTGGCTGGAGCCAGTGACACGGGGTTGTCCGTGTGCAGCTGCCCTGGGACACACTCTACTATTGATTATTGTAAAAGATTCAGAATATAGCAAGAGCTTTATGGCCAGGGTCTTGTCATTTGCTATTTAAGTTATGTTGCCATATTTCTTCTATTTTGCAATAAATATTTTGCAAAACGTACACTGAGGAGCTGTGCTAACACACGAGTGCATGGCAGCTGCTCCACACTTCCTCTGTGCTCACCATGCTGGATCAGCTGGGATCCCCTGGCGTGGGCTGGCTCTCCCTGGAGGGGTCCTTGCCCCTGCCACCTCCCAGCCCTGCTGCCCGACACGGAGCAGAGGAACCGGCTGGGGATGTGAGTTCCAGGGACAGCGATGGCAGCCTGATCTGTGCCACTGAACACGGGGCTGTCACCACAACTGACTGCCTGCAGCTCCCCCCTCTGCCGTGGCAACGGTCTGCTGGAATCACCGACAGCAAATTCCAGCTCCACATACGGCTGTGCCCAATCTGGTCTGTGCACCACTTGGAGGAGGCAGTGCCACGAGGTGACACTGTCAGAGGGAAGCCTCACAATAGTGGAAAATGGCAGGTGAAGGGACAGGTGAGGCTTGGTGTGAATAAATAAAATACAAAAGGAGGAAAACCAGTCCTGACAGTGTTCCTCCTGGTAGAGCTCTGGAGTTATGTCAGCAGCACCTGGCAGCAGCCCTCAGAAAAGGGCACAGGAGCAAGTTTGGCCTCAGTGAAGGGAAGCTCGGTCTGGCTGCAAGAACTTGGAAGTGGCCATGGAAAAAACTTACCAAGGAATTACTCTCTAGGCACTGAATACCAACAATTAAAGATTCTACATCTGGTCTTACTTACACTGTGCTGGCAGAACTCGGCAGCATCAGCCTGGTGAATTAATTGCCTCCGGCATAAGCAGGATTGAAGTCAAGCCGTGGTTCCAGCAGCTGTTACCACCTGTGCTTTCATCGGAATTTAAGCAAGAATTCATAAGGATCTGATTAATTTTTCTGTAATTCAGCAAAACTTATAATGGAAGGTAATTTTCTTACTGACAGTTGGGACATAAGAGGATTTTTGCATAAAGCAAAACTCCAAAGTGTGTCTTTGAATATAGCAGGATTAATTAATTAATTGCTCCAGTGTATATACCCCCACATTAGATAAGTTAACACACGTTATCATTAGGTCTGTCCACACCACTCAGTTCTGAAGGAGTGGCAAACTCTTGTTAGATTTCACCTCAAAAAAAAACCAAACAAAACCATCACCTTGTGTCTTTTCTGACTGAAACAGAGTTTAGGATAAGGAATTTCTCAGCTGGCACTGCCAAGAAGGGAAATGTTTCCAATTCAGGTCAGCGAGTAGACAGGTGACATTCATTTCAGGATTCCCTCAGGTCTGAGGTTTTCTTCCCAAGGCAGCTGATACAACTTCCCAAGTAAAAGTGTGACAGTTCCTCAAGACATTCAGAAGAGGTGATTGAGGCCTACCCAGTTCTGTGAACAGAACTGACCCCTCTCAAGCCCCCAGCCTTCAAAGGGCTAGTGAAGCATGTCCAGACAGGCAGACCTGCATGCTAGGCAGACCCCCAAGCAGCACCTTGGCAGGTGCCCTGCAGCCCCTTGGCCGCTCTTCAGCCCACCAGGAGCATGTGCTGTGGAAGGTGATACCCAGGGAGCAAAAGCTGTGCCTGGGAAGCAACCTTTCTGTTTTTAGAGTTTTCCCTAAAAACTATTTCCACTTTAAACACAAATTGAATGAGTTTAGAGTGGATACAGCACAGCTCGAGGGGACCCTGCCCAAGGCCTCGGCTCTGTCGTGCCACAGCCAGGCCCAAGGGCTGTGGCAGTCCCAGGAAGCCAGGAAAGGGACCTCGCAGTGCTATGGGCAGTTCACGGACACCAGGTGAGCCACTGATACCACTGGCTGCACCTCAGCATGCTCTTTCCTTCTGAAAAATAAGCGAAGCTCACTTTCTCTGTTAGTCTCCCTACATGTTAGTAGGGCACTGCAAACTCTTACCGACAGCACGGGTAAAGCAGCACACACCCGCTCTCCCGAGGGCAGTCCAAACCTGGCTGGGTTTGTGCAAGATGATTTTCTCTCTTCTATTCTCCGAGCTAATGTGCAGATTCCTTGGAGAGGTTCGACAGCACCAAGTCCTACGGGAGAGATCAGGAAAATGTGTGACAAGCGTGTGACACGGGTGTAAGGAATCCACTCGGGCAGGTGTTCAGGTGCAGACAGGTCGTGTCACGTCGGGTTTGGTAACGCGTGTCACCCCCAGCCCAGCTCCCCGCTCCTGACAGAAGCAGCAGCTCCGAGACTCGGCAGGCACGGAGTGCCGGGATGGCGGGACAGGAGTGAGCGTGGCGGCTCGGGACACCGACAGCAGCCCGGGACACCGACAGCAGCCCGGGACATCACAGCCAGCAGCCCGGGACATCACAGCCGGCAGCCCGGGACACCGACAGCAGCCGGGACACCGGCAGCAGCCCGGGACAACGGCAGTACCCCGGGACATCACAGCCGGCAGCCCGGGCGCCTCCGGCTGCCCCGCGAGAGCCGCCCTGGCTCCTCTCCCGGCCGCGGGTCCCGGGCGGTGCGGCCGCAGCCCCGCCGAGGCGGGCACGGGGAACGGGGCAGCCGCCGCTGCCGTCGGAAAAGCAGCGCCGCGGGGCAGGCACGGCCCGGGCCGGGCACTGGGTACAGGGTACCGGGCGGAGCGGCCCGTGCCGGGTATCGTTTACCGGGTACCAGCCGGGCCGGCTCGTGCCGTGTACCGTGTACCGGGTATCGGCCGGCCCGTGCCGGGTCCCGTGTACGCTGTACCGTGCACCCTGTACCGTGCACCCTGTACCGTGTACGCTGTACCGTGCACCCTGTACCGTGTACCCTGTACCGTGCACCCTGTACCGTGTACGCTGTACCGCGTACCGGCGCGTGCCGGGGCGGGGCTGAGGCGGTTACTCCCCCCGCGGTCCCGGCGTGCCCCGCGCGGTCCCGGCGTGCCCCGCGCCCCCCGCTCAGCGTTGCCCTGGAGACGGCGACGCAGCCGCCGGGCATGGACGGGCTGGGCTGGGCCGCGGAGCCCGGCGGAGGGCCGGACGATGGGGCGGACGATGGGGCAGGCGAGCCCCGCTGGCCCTGGTCCCTCGAGAAGGGTACAGTCCACCTGGCAGAGCCGCGCTTTGGAACACCCCCGGCCAGCCCGCAGCCGACCCCCGCGGGCCTGCCCACCCTCCTGGCCTACCGGCCCGAGTCCTCCCAGCTAACCGTACAGCACGAGGTCAGTTGGGGTGGGCGCTGCCCGCTGCCTTATTCACACGGTTCCTTGTAGAAACGTGGAACCAACGCCCTTTGCCAAGCCCGCAAAGGAGCCCCTACATGACAGGGGTTCAGCCCCTTTTTCTTCTGCAACGCTCTTGAAACAGCACTGTGCACAAATGGGCAGCAAGAGGCTGTGCAGCCTCTCCCCACTGCTGCATCCTCTGTTGAGAATTTCCCAGCAGAATATATTTTATATTATATATAAAAATATATATAAATAGGTATAGTCACAGAATACAAGCAGGGCACAGAGTTCTCTGTAATCCTTAGCAGCGCAAAGTCACCAAAGAGTTAATCCAAGGCATGAGGTGGGGAACAAGAGAATTTTGTTTCAGGATATCCAGTACCCATCCTTAAAACACACCCTGCTGCCAAACTGGTTTGCTGTCTGGTCAGATGTGACCAGCTCTGTATCACTAATTCTGATGGTGCTTCTTCAGAAACTCTCACAATTGCAGACATCAGTTCTTCTCTCTGTAACACATTCAAATTCTCAGCTACAATGTTCTGTGCTCTCAGCTTCCCTGGGAAGGAGCAGAGCTCATAAATACCACAGTCATTCACTTTCTTAGGGGCCATTTATTGATTTATTTACAACACATCTGCTTTTCTTTTTGGCGGTTTCCTGAACCTAATGTTTTGAATTTAATCATTCCAAGATATCCCAGACACGGATCTGTTGTGGGTGCCCATAGGTGCTTTGTAATATTTGCTGCATTTTGAGCAGGGCCCTCTTTCACCGTGCTAACCCGAGGATCTGGGGGCTGGTACCCCATATCCTTCCTCCCCGCTATAGCTGCAGGCAGAGGAGGATGCTGAGCCAACCTGCGAGTACTGTGGCAACCTGCTGAGGCCGTTCCCCTTCTCTGAGGACATCACTGTCTCCGAGGAGCAGGCAGACGTAAGCAGGCGGGCAGGACGAGCAGGGTTTGCTGTGGAAGGGCCGTGCTCACGGCTCCGCTCTCTGCCTTCCAGAGATTCTGCTGCGAGCGCAGCCGAGAGCTCTATGAGTTCATCACCAAGGAGAGGAAGAGGCTCGAGGATGCCAGCAGCCTTCCCGGAGCTGTCAGCATCCAGGAACCACTCGGCTCTGAAACCAGCCTGCTGCTGTCACAGGAGCAAGAGAACCGCAGGTACTGGGAGGACTGGGGGTCAGGGCTGTGTCATGAACAACAGGGAGCTCTGACGGGAAAAGGAGTGCTAAGAAACCACAGGGAGGGGGATGAAAGAAGAAAAGCCTTTGCTTTGGGCATCAGAAGTTCAGATTCTCTCTGGTCCCTCCTGGCTCCTCTATTGCCAGGCTGCACAAGGAGGAGGTGAAGCATGTATTGAGTGAAACGTTAATTCCAGTGCTGACAGACAAACTCTCTAGAGACAGGTAGAGCAAAAAACCCCACAGCTGTGGGAAGGGATAGTATTTAGGTGTAGCTTCTACCTCTGGCACTGAAACAAACCTGGAGTTTGTATTTCTGTTTTGCTCCATAAACCGTGTTTGGATTACAGTTTCCAGAGTCACACAGAAGAGCTCTGCAAAGTCTCAGGCTATTTAGCAGGAGGCCCAAAGCTTGTGCAAGAGTTTAAGCCTTCAGGGAAAGTCTAAGCCACAGGAAAAAGGAAAATCAAACCAGTACACCTGGAAGTAAACTGTTGGTCTCCTTGAAAATCCTTCACAGCCTGAGGGTGCAAGTGCTTCGTATGTACAGAGCACAAACCAAACCACTGTCCCACTGACAGATTCATAAGAAGCTACACAAGAATAGTGAAAATATTCTTAGAGATGAGCTGTTTTCTTGATCTTCTGGGCCTCTGTCCTTCTCTCTCACATAGAATCTGATCCAAAGCCCATTACAATATTCAGCCAGCAGAGCTGATGCCACTGCAGTGGCAGTCTGTTCACTGGAATCTGTGTGGGTGCAATTCCTTTCTGCTGAGGTGTGAGTATTTTGGTGACACTCAGCTGCTTGTTACTTGGAATTGTGAGCAGAGAGAAAAAACAGATTGAGAAACTGTGTTCCTAAAGCAGGGATATCCACCACTTGCAGCTTTCCAAACACGATACATGAGGTGTCAACAACATTTCTTTTTTCCAGGCAGCAGAAAAGACAGCTGGCCAGAGAGTTGGCTGACCAGTCTTTAAAGCCGAGTGCCACTGAAGGTGAGTTGGTATTTTCTTACAGGTTTGTCCATTTATCTCAACAATGCATTCAGTGAAATTGCTGGTTTCTAACTGGAGGATTTTATGCAGCAGCATGTTCATTCATTGTCTGATATGTAATCTCATTAAATTAGATCCAGATACAGCCATATTAAATCATCTCTCACACATGGCACAAGGGTGGCCACATCCCCTTTGCACAGAGAGGCTGTTTTTCATGATTTTCAGTATGTATCTGTTAAGTTTCCAGCTGAGACGCACAGAACTTGACCTGAGAGGACAAGGTGGCAAAGCCAAGCCCTTGGCAAGTAGGAACTGCCAGAATGAGGCTCACCCATATCTTGCCTCAGATGGATACTCCCCCAATTCCTAGCCCAGGCTATGGATGACTGAGCAGCCTTTGGGTCTAGCTGTAGAGGAGGAGTTTTGACAAGTGAACCAGATTTACAATATGGCCATGTTTTCAGAGGATGGCAGGGCACTGAGGCTTCTGTGGCACTGGGATCTCAAATGGTCAGTTCCAGTGTGTGGAGCCAAATGTTATCCCAAAAAGTTGCTCTTTACACCAATGTGTGTATATACTGAAAAAATGCTGTTTTATCATAATCCTACACTCTGAAATAGCTGAGCACTTTGGACTGCCCTTGCTAGAAAATACCCCAAGACAACCCGTCAGGATGGAGTGTTTCAGCCAGGAACTCCCACTCCCCAGTAACAGCAGAGGTATCAGGCAGCCCCGTGGTGGGCACTGCCAACCCTCTCCGCTGCACAGAAGCCCTCCCTGTGCTCTGCAGGTTCACAGCAAGCTGGATCCATTTCCTACGAGCTTTCCCTGGAACTCACATCTCCCAAAAGCGGGATCCCAGAGACTGTTGTGATTGCAGCTGAGCCCGAGCCGGAGCTGGAGCTGGAGCCTGAGCCCGAGCGTGAGCCCCAGCACAAGGAGGAGCCTGAGCCAGAGCCCCAGTCTGAGGAGAAACCCAAGCTGGAGCCCTGGCCCAAGGAGGAGCCTGAGCCAGAGCCCCAGTCTGAGGAGAAACCCAAGCTGGAGCCCTGGCCCAAGGAGGAGCCTGAGCCAGAGCCCCAGTCTGAGGAGAAACCCAAGCTGGAGCCCTGGCCCAAGGAGGAGCCTGAGCCAGAGCCCCAGTCTGAGGAGAAACCCAAGCTGGAGCCCTGGCCCAAGGAGGAGCCTGAGCCAGAGCCCCAGTCTGAGGAGAAACCCAAGCTGGAGCCCTGGCGGCCCAAGGAGGAGCCCAGACTTGAGAAGGAGCCCTGGCCCAAGGAGGAGCCCAGTCTCGAGAAGGAACCCTGGCCCAAGGAGGCACCCAGTCCTGACAAGGAGCCCCAGCACGAAGAGGAGCCTGAGCCAGAGCCCCAGTCCGAGAAGGAGCCTGCGCCCGAGCCCAAGGCCCAGCCTGAAGAGAAGCCCAAGCCCAAGAAAGAGCCCAAGCACAAGGAGCCCGTATCCCGCGGTGTCCTCCACTATGATTTCAGTCTCCTGGGGAAGAAGGTACGTGCGGCTGACAGCGCCGGGAGCGCCTTGGATGTGTCAGCGCTCCGGGCAGTCAGTGCCCAGCAGTGCCCATTGTCACTGGGCAGCTGTGCCTGACTGCTCTCATCCCTTTTATCCTTCCAATCTTAGGTGGGGAAGGCTAAATTGGTGCAGAAGTACTACAAAAACGGAAAGAAATTCCTTACCATGCTCCCAGACGGAACCTCGCAGTTATTGTATCCTTTACAGGGTTCACTTGCCTGCCTTAGTCCAGGGCTGTTACTAATTTTAAGTTTGTCCCAGTCCACTTTATTACAACCCGGCTCATCACTCCCGGTTGCTCTGTGTGAGGAGCAGCAGCAGTACAAGCTGACACAGCTCCTGGGCTGAGGTTTCAAAGAGCAGCTAGCAGCTCTAATGAGCACTAGCTTCCAAGACCCAGCCCAAGGGAACAGCACACCTTTAATACTTTAACACACTTCAATAAGCACCTTAAAGTGCTTATTAATAAAGCACTTTAACACAGTGCTCTGGGTAATACATCTGTTTTTACACCCTAAAGTAGTACCCAAAAGCATTTAGCATGTAGTAACAGATCAACCAACTAAAGCAGGGAGTTACAAACACCTTACCTGGCAGCAGCTATCCATCTGGAAACCTGGCCATCAACATTATAAGAGGGAGGGACCAGCTGACTTGCATAGTACAGGAAGATGAGCTGAGGACAACCAAAATCCGAGCACTGTTTCAGTCGGACGGCAGCAGCACGTGCTATTACCCAAACGGAGATGAGTGGTGCGTTCAGCAGCTTTGCTGACTCCTCTATGCATTGACATTTCAAAGGCCATAAAGGGTATTTTTAATAGCATCCAAAAATAGACAAATTCAGCAGCTCATGGGCCCTGCTTCAAGTGTCCCCAGAGCAGCAAGGCAACCCAGCTGTGTCTGGAGAGGTGGGGGACAGACCCTGCCCCTGCTGTGCCTCTGTGCCATCCCTCAGGGGAATGAGATACCTCCTGCCACAGGAGCTTACAGGGTTCAGAGCTTCCATTTCCCTTTCTTTAGGATAAATATGAGTATCCAGGGTGGGCAGTATTTGGACCAAGCAGGCAACAGGGTCAGAAGGTGGATGTGGCCAGAACTGTCACCAGGACCCCAGGCGCCTCTGAGCCCCATTTTCATCTCCCTGAACCGCCACGTGGGGGTCAGGATCCTGGCCCAGGACAAGATCTTCGTCTCCTTCCTCGCCAAGGGGCGACAAGCAAAATTCAACATGGGAACCAAAGTGCAGGTATTGTTCCTGTGCCGAGCCACTCCCCACAGCGGGAGTGGGGCAGCCGGGGAAGCTCCATCTGCATTTATCCTGTGGTGGGTGCTCCTATGTTGTCCCATGCTCCTTCCCCAAAAAGCAAGCTGTGGCTGTGTGTGTATTCCTGCCACTCCTAGGAAGATGGGGCATTGCCAGCCCCAGCTCTCTGCAAGGGCCACAGTGTGCGACTGCACTCCCAGGCAGGTCCCTGGCTGCATGCCCAAGGACCACCCTGGCTCTGCCACAGGAAGAGCTATGATCCATGTGGGCAGGGTGCAGGGCACAGGCTCCTGGCACACGGGCAGGTGTGTCTGCTGGAGACGGAAGCTCTGTCCCCAGCTCAGGTGCCCACACGTCCTCTGTTGCCCAGGTCGGCGCTGGCAGCCAGCTGCCTCCTCCTGCCCGGCTGGGAGAGGATGAGCTCCTGCTGCTCGCCTTCCGCGTGAGGATCCTGCAGCTCTTCGACAGGATGCGGGGATGCCTCAACTTCCCCTCCAGCGAGCAGTGGAACAAAATGCAGCCTCCTATGTACCTCATGACCCAGGCTGTGAAGATTCTGGAGCTCTGCATGGCTGCTGACATCAGTGATGAGCTGCGCAGCTCCATCAAGGCAATAGTAAACGCACAGTAGCCCTGACCAGTGTGTGTGTGTGGTGTAAGGCAAAATGAGCCAGAGATATCCCTGATGCTGTGGCACCTGCACGTGCTCACCAAGGTTTCTCCTCTGGGCCTGCCCTGCCCTGGTGCAGAGATTGGGCACAGCCCCCAATGGGCCTTGCTCAGGGCAGGCAGTGCCAGTCCACACTGACACCGTGGTCAGGGAGGCAGGAGAGGGCTTTACTCGGGTAGAGCAGTCCTGTGCTCCACAGCAGTGCACTGCTCCTCAGCAGCCTCCCTTCTGTCTCCAGCCCTGCTCAGCACTCACTTCAGCCCTTGGGTAAGGCACAAGGTAAAAACAAAGAGCACAGCCAAGCCAGAGCTTGGGACAGGTACACAGGCAGGTGTTTGCTCTGCCACTCCTGACAAGAAGGAATGCCCCAAGAGATCCCGGTGTCCGTGCCCACAGCAGCTCAGCCGGCTGCAGGTACAAGACAAGGTGCAGAGAGTAACAAATGCCCTCAGAGTGCCCAAAGCAATCACCTGTGCTTGGCTCCAGGGAGCACCAGCTGCAGCCTGGGATGGGCTCTGGTTCAAGCACTGCAAACACCGACCTGTCAGTGTGTGTTTAAAGGCCTGTGGTGTTGCAGTGAGGAACCGCCCAGCCGTTCAGAGCTGCCTTTGAAACTCGGGGTTCAGCTGCCCAGCTTCCCCCAGGGAGGGCACACCTGAACTGTGGCAGGTGCCTGAAGGATAAGGCCAAGCCCCATGTGCCTCTTCCAGCACTGGCAGTTCTCAGGGGCTTACACACCACAACTACAAGGCCAGGAACTGGAAAGTTGGCTTTTTATGTAGTTTTTCAATTGCAGTCCAAGAATGTCCATCAGTGACAAACAAGGTACTTCACACAGGAAATGGGAACTCTTTATTTCAATTAATGTTCTTGGGTTCTATTCAGGACAGCAGGAGGGCCCAGCTCATCTCTCAAATGGCCAAGGAAGAACTGCTGGAGCTGGCCCACATGATTAAAGAGTAGCTGATCTTAATTTTCACTGAAGTCACCAAATGATGTAACTATTCCGCATATAATTTTGCTTATATAATTCAGTATATAATGCACTGTTCGACTCTGCCATAGATTTTGAAAAATATACAAACCTGTTTTAACCACATTAAAGAGATTTGATAGACAACTATCAATTACTCAACAGTTTAGGACAATATCAGACACTCCTATAACTTCATTTTAAACTACAAAAAGAACATAAATTCATATAAAATACAACAGATTAAACAAACTTCTCTTTTTCCAAGGAAAAATTAGGTATCAACTCAATCTGCCATTGTGTGAAACATGAATATAAAATAAGTTACCATTAGTAATGCCTGCATTGCTGATCTATGAACTGGTCGAATGAAGTCTTAAAAAAACTATACAGTATTATTGCACTCGTGGCTGTGCAGTGTGGACCAGCCAGCACCGAAACAGGGCTCATTGAGTGTTTGTCCAGGAGGCACAACGTGGCTGCAGGAGAGGCATCCAGCCTGCACCAACAGCGGCTGTCTTCAGTGCAGGCCTTCATGGGTCTGCACCACGCGGCCCAGGAACCACCACCCAACGCCTGTGGAGAGACACCTGGGTTACAGCCAGCAACAGCCTGTGCCACAGCAGCACACCTGCAGGGGGCTAGGACACACCTGGGGCACAGCCTGTGCCACAGCAGCACACCTGCAGGGGGCTAGGACACACCTGGGGCACAGCCTGTGCCACAGCAGCACACCTGCAGGGGGCTGGGACACACCTGGGGCACAGCCTGTGCCACAGCAGCACACCTGCAGGGGGGTAGGACACACCTGCACTGAGGCTGCTGCACACCTGCACTGAGCCAGCCCCAAGATGGGGAATGGTAAGCAATGTGTTTTGAAAGGCACACGGGGACATGGAAGTAGTTTGCCATAAAATACCCACAGGATGTGAACCCCGTGCTACCAAAAGCCGTGGGTGGAACTTTTGCAGAGGGGCAGGGCAGTACAGCAAGTGGAGCATGACAGCATTCTGCTCTCCCGGGCTAAGCAAGGAGCAGGACAGCACCCTGGAATTCAACAGGGTTAAAAGCCAGGAGACCCTAACCCCCTGCACAGAGGCTGCTCTGAGGCACATAATGTAGTGTGTTCTGATCTCTGCACCACTCGCTTCACTGACATCAGGCCTTCTGCCTGCAGGAACACACCTTCTCCTGCCTCATGGAGTGCCAGCTTCCTGCTCTGAGACAGGCACATCCCACCCAAACAGCCTCTGTGACACCACACGTGGCAGTTTAACATCATGGGAGATGGTTCTCCAGAAAAACATTTAACTGAACAAACACACAATCCTAAAATCCAGTCTCCAGTGTGCCCGTCTCACCTGGGCAATGCACTGGTGCCTGGAGGAGACTTACGAGAAGTTTCAGTGCTGCTCGATGGGGCTATGATCGATGATGGGGCATTGACTCCATGTGCACATTGAGCTTCATCTCGTTATCAAGGATCTGTACAAGCTGCTGCATGGAAGGGAGGTGGCCAGACTCCAGTTTAGACCACACTGGGACATCTAGCACAGAACACACACGGGAGAAAAGCACTGTTACACTGGGAGCATCAGAGAACACGCAGAGCTGGTGCAAACATGGAGTTGAGAAGCTCTAGGAAGGTGTGTGAGTTGGTACTGATCTGTGTTGAGGAAAACATCTGAATCAACAATGCTTCCAAACTCTGGCTATGCTGAACCCCAGCCCAACTAGGAGAGCAGAGTGTCTAGTGCTTCCATTTAGAAGTACATCATATTGATGGAGAGGTGCAAAATATCCACTGACATTCCTCTCAACCTGAAAAATCAGTACTGCTGTCCACCAGTAGTGATCATCTGGTAACAGATTCTTAGGATTTCAAGGCTAAAGCATGCTGCAGAAGACAGGGAAAGCATCTAATTGGAGAGTACATGCCCCTAGCTGATGGTTTCTTATTTAATGCACATAATACACAAAGAAAGAATATAACAGAGTTATTCCAAGGGACCAAATATCCCATAGGTATTTTTTACAGAGCTATTCTAGAATATCTGACTTCTGTATAAACTGCTTTATAGGACTTCAATGATTTCCATAATTTATTGTGATAGACAACATCTGAAGATCCAAATGGATGGCAATTTCCACATATCACAGTTGGGACATAAATTTCCTGACACCATCGCTCCCTCTCCCCATCCTAGCACTCTCACATGTGTGTGTGACACCCCCCAAACAAAGTCTCAGCTCACCATTCAAAGTGATTTCAAAAGCCCCAGTGGACATGCACTGGTTCTCAATCATGTTGCTCAGGAAGAAGACCATCATGCAGGCGTACACCTGGAAAAGAACAAAGATCCACACAGACCTCAGCCATGCCAGCCACACCTGCTGTTGTTCACGGGTGATTCTGAACTCTGTGATTGCTCAAGGAATGTTGCCATCTACAGACACCTCCCTTTCCTCCTTTCACGCGGCCTGTGCACCTTGCCTTCCCCAGACCAGCTCCAAACCCAGCCAGCTGCAGCCCCCCTCGCAGGGGGCTGGCAGTGTGACACAGGAACACGGCCTGTCACGTCACAGCCATCTCCAGATCACAGAGCCAAGGGCCCAGCCACAAACTGCAGAGCAAGGCAAGTCACACATGCACAGGAGCCACCGAGCCTCCTGCACGCCTCCAAGCTCTCCATGGGGAATTTTCTCTGCGCGTGGGTGACTAAGACTGCATCCTCAGCAGTGCAGCTCCTCCCTCACCACCTGCACCTCTCTAATTTCCTTTTCCTGTTCACAGGCACACTCACACAGGTCACTGCAACACCGCAGGACCTGGCACAGGGACAGCAGCCAGCCCGGCCAGGCACAGAGTTGGCCCATTTCATTCAAATGGAAATATTACAGCTTCTGGGCATGCAAATTGGCCAGTGAAAGATCCAGGGCACTGGGCAGCTCGGCATGAAGGGCTGTAAATTACTTTAGTTGAGTGGAATAAATCTGGAATGAGGTTACTGTAAATCAGAGTACAACACCCTGAATCTGCTGGCATCACCAGTACTGACTCATGGGGATATTCTCCCACAATGTCACGCCAGTCTGCTCTCCAAAAACACCCACAGCATTTCAACTTCATTTTTCTAACGCCCTTCTAATTGCTGCCTAATCTATCAGGAGTCTGATGGAAGCATCAACTGAAAAAGTTATGAGACAACAGAGAAGGAGAGCTGTAATATTAACATCAACAATACTGGCTTGAAATGCTGCTCTTGAGCCCTACAAAATAAACAACTCTTTTATCATCTTTATCAGCAAGTTAACCTCAGCTGCCCTCCTGCAGCAGCAGCAGCTTGGAAGGAGATCACAGAAGCACGCCTGAGTTTGTCAAAAACATAAAGCACAACTGGTAAGAATTATTCTACTGTAAGGCTGTAGCATGTGAAAAGTAAATCAGTCAGCACTGAGGGACTCACTGAACAGAGTGCCCTCATGAAGTAACTCTGAAGCTGTTTTTTCAGACTAAAAGAAATATGTCCTTTACCTTGTTTTCCTGGCCCCACTGCCAGATGCTTGGAGCTTGCATGCCAAAGAAAGCAAACGGGTCCTTGCCCACGATGATTAAGCCAATTAATACTAGTTTGAAGACAGACAGGAAGGATGCTATGTGCCTGTTGGAGACAACACACACCAGTGACTGAAAGGTTCAGCTCCTGCTTCACCATACACAATTGTAATTCACCTCACTAGGAGAATTTTGACAGTGTACAATCAAATGTTTCAGGGGAGGTACAAAATTTTCCATGAAGGTTTCTCTCAGAGCAAATAAACTCCAAATCAAACCAACAAAACAAACCCCCCAGTAAGGCCCTGCTTTTGCACAGCAGCCCAGATGCAGAGTTCCCCACAGCCAGCCCACACCAAGGCCTCGTGCCCCGCAGCCTCCCACCACCACAACCCTGCCAGGAACTGGGCCAACCACTGCTCCAGGAGCCACCCAGTAACTATGGCAGCGCTCTCCAGCGTGGGCACACTGCTTTAAGGAACAGCAATAACACCATTTCGTCTTTTTCTGAATTTCTTTGGGCTTTCCCCCCACAGCTGCAGCAAAAGCCACTCTGGGCAGCTTCCCCCTGAGGTGAGCTCTCTCTGACTCAGATGTTAAAACTGAACTTTCCCTTCCTCTGTGTCCTTAACCTACTGCAGAGATTTGTCACTAAGCGCATCATCCAGAGCAACAAATTAAATTTATGTCCAGATAAAGCATGAAGAAAACCTGGGGAAATTAACTGTTTCAAAAAAAAGTTACATACTTTAAGTTGTATATGACAGGCCTCATCATACAGATATCCAGACAGTGATACTTGCATGGAAAACTAAGGCGGAAAATCACCACGCTTGTATGTAATCACAATAGAAAATCCCCTTCAATTTACTTTTTCAGTATTATTTCAGTGTAAATGCGTGTGTTTACCACTGGAAAGCAGACAGACAGAACACAGCACGAGGTGACACGCTCACCTATAGATAGGTTGAGGAAGGTAGTTCTCCCCTTCGATTCGGATGTCTGGGTACCGCTGGCTGATGACCCGCATGTACTCCTCAAACACCCGCCTGTAGCCTCAGGAGACACTGAACACAGACAGCACTGTCACCACGGCGCCAGGGCTGCACGGCACCGCCACTGCTCAGCACCCTCCGCACAAGCCCTTCCAGTTCAAACAGAACTACACTGCTTTATGGCACAGAGAAAACCTGATCTGCAGCGGAATTACACACCACAAATCCCAACAGGTAAGCCCTAGGTGTGCTGGGATAGTTTGCTCCACATCACAGCACACACACAGAGCTCTGGAAACACTCACTGGGCATCAAATGACTCGCTTTCACTGGAAAAATGTGTTAAATTATGATTAATTTAGGAAGTCGATGTAAGCAATCTTTTGCTCCGTGCCAAAAAAAAAAAAAAAAAAAAAAAAAAAAAAAAAAAAAAAAAAAAAAAAATCTTTCTTCACACAGAGCCGTCTGACTCCCTGTCTGGGATCCCAGACAGGCAATGTCGCTCCCAGCCACCCCTGCATCAGCACGACACGGAACTGCAGGAGTTAAATATTCCCGAGCTGTCCCCTGCCTGGCCTTTCAGCAGCCGCCTCTATCAAACTGCGGTAAAGCGCCAGAGGCCCCAATCCCAGAACCTTCCCCTGAGCACTTGTGCGGCGCCTCACGGAGCCGCAGGGCTCGGCCCAGGCTCTGCTCCGGCCGCCACCCGGCCCTGCCCAGCCCGAGGACCGGCAACCGTGGTGACCAGTGCCCCAGGCCTCTTGAGTTTTGTTCTGCCCGCAAACAGGCTCCGTGCGCCGGGGCTGCTCAACCCTGCTCGGAGCTGCTGACAGCATCGCAACACCCCCGGAATGGTGCAAAGGTGCCCGAGCGCAGCACTGCAATACAGGCACTGCACCAAGGCAAACACAAAATTACATCCACTGCTAAGACATCGATCCCTCCAAGACATTAGTCCTGCACCAGCACAACGCCATACACGGCACTAAAGGGCCCGAAAAGCGTGGGTTTATGGCGGGTGGCCGTAGAGTGGGCCCTGCTGAAAGAGCCGCCGCCCGCGGCCCGGCGCCGCCGCCCACGCTCCAACAGGGCCCGGCGCCCCGACAGCTGGCCCGGGGCGGGGCGGCCCCCGGGCCCGCGGGTGGCCCCTCCACGGATGACAAGAGCGAGCGAGGCCGCCGCAGCGCTGAGGGAAAGGAGGGGAAGAAAAACGAACGAGGGAGGGAGAGACGACGGCCTAGCGGACGCCGCCATTTTGGCCGCCGCCATCTTGGCGGGCGCCCCTCACCAGATCTGGAACTTGAGCAGCGGCCCGGTGGCGTAGGCCATGCGCAGCTTCTTCGCCGGCAGCCCGCCCTGCTCCGCCGCCGCGGCGCCGCCGCCGCCCGGTGCCGCCGCCAGCCCCGCCAGCAGCAGCAGCAGCAGCCGCCGCAGCCCCGCCGCTCGCATCTCGCCGCCGCAGCCAACGCTGAGGCACCGCGCGCGCGCCGCCTCAGCCAAGGTCAGGCGGCAGCGGGGGCGGGGCCCGGCGGGGGCGGGGCCTGGCGCAGCCCCGCCCCCCAGCGCCCCCTGGCGGTCACAGACGGCTCGCACAGCTCGCTGGTATTAAATGCTTTTATGGTTCTCTACATCCCTTATTGCATAAAGACCGCGTCTCTTTTAAATAGAATAAAGCTATCAAATGTCTTTATCGCCTTCCCTTCTCCCGCCCAAATTAGGAAAAACAATCTGGTTCAGGCAGTATGTTCTCAGAAAAGGAGCACGTTTCTCCGTTTCTCGTTGGAAGAGCAGCAGAACTGGCTGATGGATACTGTATCATCACTTGCTTACAGTTTCACGGGCACACATTTTTAGGAAAACTCTTTTTTAAAGGCAAATGAGCAGCAAATCTGTCGACTTTCGCACCCTTGGTCATTTGCTGAAATGTTTAACAAACTACATTTTGCATGAACTTGTGTTAGCACCGCACTGGAGCTCAAGGAAGATTTAAACACCCAGTTCTAGGTCTTCCAGTTCCTTAAGGAGAGCAGCTTCTTTCTGAATCTTCTCCACCTAGAGCAGACAAGCATAAAATGTCATAGATGTAGCTTATTATAAAATGAACCTCGAATAAACTGTACAGATCTCAACCATACCTGATTCTTCTCCAGCTGTTTGCCAGCAGCTGCCTGTTCCTTCAACTGCTCAATTGCCTTTAGTTTCTGCAAAAAAAAAAAAATACAAAAAGCCACTCTAACACAAAAATATTGGTGGCACAAAAATGTTGCTGCACTTGCAATAGCCTGATGCATCTGGAGACAGGTCTCTGTGGAAGGAACAATGCCTACAGCATCTCCAGATGCTCTGCCCAGAATTTCCCACACATTTCTTTCAAGAACAGAACCTAGAGAACAGCAATACTTCTTCATCTCTGAAACAAACACCAGGCATTGTCTCACTGAAGGGCTAGATCCAAACTTGGAAACTACTCCATCACCATCCCTCTTCACCACACATTTTCCTCAAAGTCTGGAATGTTAATCCAGAGACTATGAGCAGCAGGAGGCAGCCAAGAGAAATGGGAAAGATTCTCTAGCCAGAACTTAACCATTTCTACACTGGAATTATTTAATGCAAGAATTCTCAAGACTGGCAGTAAACTGTGCACTCACACCACAAGGCACTGCTCCCCTTCCAGATGCAGCTCCCAACAACCAGAGAATGCACAGAGCTCCTGTGTGAGCACCAGACCTGCCAGTGCAGCCCTGACCCTCAGCTGGGGACTCCACAGCATTCCTGCCTGGAGCCTCAGGGGTAGTTTCAAATGCTCCTCCCCGGGTGCCACCTCAGATGGGACCTTCAGGAACCCTGGCACACGATGGCCTCCCTGGCTGCACAGAGAGGTGGGTACAGATTGGCACCTGCATCCCCCTGAACTCAGGCACCTTACACTCACACTAGGTCTGACACACCAGCCCTTGGAGAAATACTGTCTGACAGAAAAACAATCTCTTCACACCTTTTTCAAATTCTTTATCTTCTTGTCCAGTTCAGGATCTCCCGTGGTCGTGGCAGGCACAGTGTTCTGCAGGGCACTCTGTGGGGGCTGGACCTGGGCAGGGCCTTGGTGTGCCTCAGCTTTGGCTTCCTGTAGACACATAAATACAATCTAGAAAATACCTTTGATTACAAAGAGAATGAAAAATGTCTTTAATCACTTTAAGAGGATCCATTTAATATTCCTTCTTTCCCCAGTTTGCTGGTGTATTCCAATTTCTGGGCATGACTTGCTCTGAAGTGCTGTATTATCTGCTGACCTGCTTTCCATGGACAAACAACTCACATGATGTTTCTTGTTTAATTTCTACTTCCTCAAGATCCCAACCACACACAGCACAGGGAAACATCAGTTTAAAGGTGATATGACAAATATATACACAAATATTTTACAAAGCAGACTGGGTGATTGTCTTCGAAGCAAAAGAAAGGGCTCAAAACCAGTGCTAGAAATTTTTAAAAATAGCATTTAAAGAAATTGTTGCTCCAGAGGTTTTTAGAAACTGGAAAGCTAATACCAAAAGCTGACTTTTGTCTACCTAGTCAAATAGTAATTCCAGAAGTGGCAGACAGGCTGCCTCTGGTCTGGCCTAAAAGCACACCTCAGCCTTGACCTGCTGGGAACACAAAGCACCAGCCTGTTCTTACCTCCTCTCTAAAACCAAAGCACATTCTGCAGGATGCCAGCAGTCACAGTCACTTTGCCTCCACAGTGACTTTAGCTACCATTTGCAGTGACTCAGCAAAGCTGTTCCATTTCAATCACCCTTTTGTACCTGCTTTACCCTGGTTAAACTCTGCTGCCCTTCCCACATGCATGGGGGGCTCTCAGTGCACAAACCACTGCTGAGACTGACTGCTGCCCTCTGGGGAAACTAATTAACTAATTAACATTGTCCTTGTAAGAATGGCTTTTGCAGTACCTGCTTAGCAGCTTTCTTTGCTTCATGTTTCCTCTGATTTTTGAGAGCTGTTTTAGACAGTGGTTTATCACCACCTCCCAGCTGGGGTTTCATGTTCTGGGGTGGCTCATCCTCATGCTGCAGGAGATACAAAATGGTTAAATCCCCATACTCCATGTTGGCACAGAAACCCCAAAATCTACCTAAAGCAACATCATATGCCTTAGGTATGAACCAGAAAGAAAGAAGAAAAATGAAAGAAAGGAAGGGTGAAAAGGGTTTCAAACTCATCCACTCGAGTTTGCATGGGACTACCCTGTGTGCTCTAATGATTTCATAGATTTCTGATAAAAAAACAAAATCATTGTGTTTTCTATCTCATGAAAGAAATAAAATCCAAGAGGAATAATCCAGCACAAAATGACTGAAGCCTGGCTTCAACATTTTGCTGTTGTTGACAGCTTTGTAACTCAAACACCTGATGACCAGAGAGGAAAGCTGAGTGGTGGGAGGAGAGATGGGGACTTCTTGGGGGGCAGTGGGGGCTGTTTGGTGTTTAAGAGAACTCTTAACTGTGGCACTGTATTGCTTTAATGCATGTGACAAGATTTTTTGCCCATATAAGTAAGCAGAATTATTTTACTGACTGTATCTTTTCCCTACTCCCTGTGCTCACGGATGGTTTGTGAGAGAAGCCCTCAGCATGGCTCACAGATTGCTGGCAGGCTGAGTCTCCTGCAAAAGCATCAGGCTCAAAATCAAAGCTCTCCAGGACTCAAACATGAAGGGTGCAGCTGTTACATGGAATTAGCTGCTACTCAGCCTAATTTGAAAACTTGCAGAAAGAAACTAATTATACAAGCAGGTCACTGTACTGGAATGTGTTTAAGCTGCAGCTGACTTAGTAATGATCCAATCTCTAGGAAGTACATTTACCTTAAAAAAAACCCCAAAAATCAGCAAGAAAGAATGGCTGTTGGGAGGCCAGTCAAGCCCAGGCTGGCTGGGTTCAGAACTGGCAAGTCAAGTCACCCAGATCAGAGGCTCCTGTCCTAACCAGAGCACTCAATTTCACCACAAGCCACGCTCGGAGTTTAGTGTTTCAGTACACATCACAAAGAGCATTACAAAAGTCTGCAGATGCTCTGTGAAAGGACAGTATTTGTGCCAAAGACGTGAGAGCTTTCCAGCATACGTTCTTGCAAACTGTGAGCCAAGTGCCAGAGCAGCTCACCAAAACCCCTCTGAACCCCCCCAGTGCTGCCAACCTCATCACTCCTCCCATGTTCCTCCCCAAAAACACACACACACACACACACACACGTGAGGCCGAGCTGCAAACAGCCACGAGACATCAGGTCAGGTCCCACAGGACAGTGCTACTCACGAGCTTGGAGCTGGTGCCGGGTTTGTTCCTCAGGGCCGGGGGTCTGTACGCCTGCGCTGGGCGCGGCTCAGCGCCGGCCAGCTCGCTGGCCACGGCCTGGTACCTCACGGCTCTCTCTGGGAACACCCCGTCCAGGAAGGGCTGCCAGAACACCTGCCACATCTCCTGGTCGGAGGGCACCTGGTGGGAGTGCAGCACCGAGCCCGTGTAGTGCCAGATCTTGTAGCCGTTGCCGACGCGCAGGCGGGGCGCGCACGTGGCGGTCACGATGTGCTCCCCGTCGGGACACCACGCGAAGTACGTGGAGTCCGAGGCCACCGGCTTGGAGATGAGCTTGTAGTTCTTAACGTCCCACACTTCCATCTGCCCCCGGAGGTTCCCGAACCCTGCCAGCACCAGGATGTGTCCGTGGGGGCTGTAGTAGGCGGCGTTGCGAGGCCCGGTGCCAAAATCAAACACGGGGTCACATTTCAGGTTAAAAACTGTGGCTTTGGCAGGCATGAAACCATACACAGCACAGAACTCCACGGAATTGGGGCTCCAGGCAACATCGTAAATAGGGCCGCTTTTTGCTGCAGGAAAAGGAAAAACATGCAGCTGTTGGGAGACTGCGTTTTTTCAGAGCAAGACAAAATAAAATCCACAGCGATTCTTCATGCTTTACTAAAATGCTGTATTCGAATTATTGACAGTGAAAACTAACTCTGCTAACAACAGAGGGAAAAACAACCTTCTATCTTCTGATAACTTTAGTTACAGTTTGCAACAATAACTGCAGTCATTCCAAATTACCTCTGCAGGGCCAGCACCAACACTTTAACAGTAAGCATAGCTTGACATGTAAAAAAAATCCGCTTTTTTTTTTCCTCAAGTATGACCTCAGGACCTTCTCAAATTGTCCCACTGGAAACCTGCAAAAACAGGAGTTTTATACCAGCTGGATAATAGTTTCTCTTCTTTTAATCTAGGAAATATTGCGTAGCTCAGCTTTGTAGAGGCAAGTAATAGTGATCTGAGTTATCTTTGGACCATGCCCATGCACAATATTTTGTAAGTCAAATTTTAATGTGAGCGAGCACACAAAAATGGCTTTACAGATAATGATCAAAACTTGGTACTGTTAGAAGCTGTTCTGGGGGTTGGAACGTTAGGAGATACTGAAGAATGATGAATTAGTGATGAAAACTCAGGTGAAATATCCAGAGGTAAATACAAACCACAGGGCATTATAACTTTTCATCATCTGGGTATATTTACCCATAGTTCAGATAAATGCCAAGTGCATGACTGAATCCTTAAATCCAGAGCTGACCCAAAATGTTCACTGAGTTAAATGGTTCATGCCTGTTGTCACTCTGAAGTCTCATTATCTTTAGAAATGAGGATGTCCAATCACACTGTGTGCTCCCCTTCAAAACCTGTTCAGTGACATCAACCAGTGTAGCTCAGATACAGAGGTGACAGAAAATGACATTTGGTGACAGCAGCAGCTGGGGAGATGAGGGCAGCTCCACGCAGCCCTCAGAGCTCTGCCAGAGCCTGCAGCAGCACCACATCTTAGTAAAAAATGAAAAGCCCTCTGCAAATGCCAGTGTGGAAAAAAGCTGCAGAACTGCACTTCAAAAAAGATCCAGCTCCACAGGGAATGAGGCACCTCTCACTCCAAGTGCCCACCAGCTGGTTTTATCAGTTTGGGCTTTTCCTTGAAAAGGAATAGCTAAATTAAATGAAAAGTAATGGTAAACTTCCTGTTAAATACAAATGCACTAGAAATAAAGAATGTTTCAGTAAGTATGTAGTTAAACAAGTACTGTCCTCAAGCTGGGAAACTGCTCCCAAAGAGATTCTATACCCTGAGCCATAACCCCAATTCTCCTTCCCCAGTGGAGTTACCATCAAGGGGAAATGGGGCACTGTACTCAGCCACAAGTATTGCAGCAGAAGGCAAACTGGCAATGTTCCCAGTCAGCACTGTTTATGGAAATTACACTCACAGTACCTCCAGCAAGGATATTCCACGTCACCCCATCCCCAGTGCTCCCAAACATTCCCAACAAACTGGCCTCCTCAATCCCAAACAGGCCAGATGTTTGCACACAACAACAAAGGCTTGAGAGAAGGAGAAAAGATCCCCACAGGGGAAGTTAAGACATGGACTGGAATTAAGCACAATCATCTGCTGCTTCTCAATACGTCATTTTTATGTCTTAAAACACTTACAATTTTACAATACAGAATAAAGGATTTCTATTTTCCAACAGACTTCAAAAAATTGCTCTCCCTCTGCCCTGGCTCATTGAGTAACAGTATCCTGCATGTGTAAAAGTGCAGGTAGGATTATTCTGTTTGGTGACACACATTCCTGCCTGTTATGGATTCTCAGACATCAACCTGGCTCCATTGCCCACGTGTTTCCTCAGCAAACGAGCACAGCTCCCTTCCTGTGCACCTGAACACTTTCCCAAGGAAAGCAGCAGGATGTATAAACTCCAAGTGTTTGCTCTCTGCCACTGACATTCAGATTATAAGTCTACCAAAGGCAAGAAAATTCAGCTACTGAAAAAAAACCCAAACCACCCCAGAAAAACACATCCTCCTGCAGAGGTAAAAAACTAAAACAAACAAAAAAAAGGGAAGGATTTTCGTTGCGAGGACGTTAGGGATCAGCTGAGGGCGCCAGGCAGCCCAGCAGGGCTCGGGGTACTCACGCAGCTGCACCACGGCGCTCTCCCCGCTGGCTGCCACGTAGTGCAGCGTCTGCTCGCCGTAGTACGAGGCTCCACTCTTGTCCACCTCGGTGCTGGCAACCACCAGCACTGCCGTGGCTGAGAACAGACACAGTTAGTGCAGCACAGCCCCTGACAACCACACAGCCACTGCACAGACGCCACACACAAAGCCACACCAGCTCCCAAATAACCAGACCCTACTGGGTGCTGCTATCATTCTCTTCTGAACCGAGTTTTTCCTAAGTGCTAACACAAAAGGACTGAATACCTTCCTTTCTCAGATGAAAAATGTCAGATCAGTCCATTCACTATTAGATCACAAGCAAGTGAACACAGCTGCATCCTTTGCAGCTATAAAAAAAAATTAAAATACCACAAAAACCAAACATCCTGATCAATCCTTAATAAATGTTTCCTCAACATCTTCTGCATGCACATCTGTTATCCAAAGCTGTGCCCCTGCAGGGGGTGCAGAGCAGGGCACTGTTCCATCAGGCCCAACCTGCCTCTTCCCCCAGACACAAGTCCCCCAAAATGTCTTGATCTATCAATCTTCCCTGTCTCTCAAAGTCCCCATGCATGGTTTCTACATATGTGTAACACACTCCTTGCATTCCAAATTATGTGGGTTGAAGTAAAATGATGTGTACAAAATCACCTGAAACAGCTCTTTGCTAACACACAGCAGAGCACAGAGGCCTGCCAACTCATCCCAGGTATGATATGCATGCATACAGATAATTCTACAGATTAAGATTATATCATGGCATGAAGTATTCTTATGTTTACAATCCAATCATGTTATCAACACTGAATGCAAAGTTATATAAGAATTTGTCATTCAACTGCTGAATTTAGCAGCACATATAGAATATTTTCAATTACAACATACACAATGACCAAAGTCACAGAAAGTGCTGAGCACTCCAGGGTGTGCAGAAATGAACCTCAGCAAGGCATTAAGGGGTGCCCTCAGGATTTATCAGCATGTGCAGATTAAACACAAACCCCACACAGTAAACAAAGCAAGTCAATCCAAAATGAGCACAATAGAGAAGTTCAGTACACAGCTGCTGTACCTTTTTTGTTCCATAGCATTGTCACCTTGTCAGCTTTGAAGAAGCTTTTGTTGGCGAGTGCTGACTGTGGGCCCCCAAAGTTGGGGTACTGGTAGAGCCTGACAAAGGATGGAGCACCTTTGCTGCCTGGGACATAAACAGCAACCTGAAACAGCCAGACATTTCACTGCAGGTTAAAGCCTTGGGAGCACAGGGCAGAGCTACTACCAGTACACTGGACTAAAGTCACAGTGGGTTTCTTTTTTTAAGGAAACCAAGAAAAAGACTGGAAGCTGGATGAGAAGTACCTTGGTTGGCTGTGCTCCTGGGGACAACACGAAATCACTGACCTTCTGCAAATGCAGCTTATTTGCAATGGTATCTGCCAAGAAAAAGGCCACAGATGTGTGATGGTAATGACAAACCACATTACCTGGATATCCTAAGCACACCCTTCTAAGGGGTTATATCCTGGATAACACAGACCAGCAAAGACAACCACTAAGAATCTCTTTTTCTAGGCAAACAACCATTACTTTCCCATTTCACCACATCACTTTGCCTACAAAACCAACTTGAATCAATCCTATGTCTGAAACCCAGCACTTAGTATTTGGAAGTTCAAAAAGCAAAGGAAGCCTCTGAACCCAAGTGAACACAGCCTGTGTTTGAAGCAGATATTCCTCCCCTTATCTGTGCTGGATTCAGTCACATTCAGGTGCTCCCTCACACCTCCACGGGGTAACTCTTCCCCACAGGCCTGCTCTGGGCTCAGCACTGCCCCTTCCCAAAACACCTGACGGGAACAGCATCCCCCAGAGCCCCACTGCAGCCAGGAACGTGCAGTGCCAGCAGAACTGCTGAGGCTCACATTCCACACTTCCCACAGCTTGGTTACATCAGCTGGGCTAATTCTCAGGAAACTGAATCTCTAGGAGCCATAACTCTTATATCAACTTTATATTTAAATTAAAACAAAGAATGCAAAACTAAAACCACACACTGCTGTTCTCCCCTCAGTTTTAATTCCTTTACATTTTCGTTCTAATTAATTTTTATCTTTCTGCTCTTTTCTTCCCCTTTCCCTTTTCAACATCTATTTACTCCAGATACTCTACCACCAACAGTAAATCTCCCTGGTAAAAATCTTCAGGCTTCACTCTTTCATTTTTGAAATTGCCATCAATTTTTGATTGAGCCATTTTGAAGTCTATTGACAGAATATGCTACAACCCAAGGAAGTAATCCCAGATCACATTTTCTAACAACAATTTCTTGGATGTCATTAATAAGAAACAATGTAGAATCAGGCCTCTTTAACTGAGAATCAGATGCATTTCATATCATGCCTGTCAGTGAAAAGATAAATAAGAAAGTGAAAACACACTTCATTAAAGCATAATGATTTTAAATTCCAAACTGAAATAGAATGTAGGCAGCATTTAAAATAAAAGGCAAGCAAAGGAAGAAACAAAGAAAAACCTGAAAACAAAAACCTTCTCTCAAAAGAAGCAGCATTTATAGAAGGAATGAAATGTAGAGAAATACTCGCATACTGAAGTTGTTGTTTTCAAAGAAGTGCACTTCATTGTTCACATTCCTGGCACAAATGCTTTCATCATCTGCCCAGCAAGGACACCTGCACATGAAGGGAAAAGTCAGAAACACAAAATTATGCTCATCATTAGCATTCCAGGATTGTTTTTCCCCTCTATTGTGAACCCAGTAAGTCCAAACATGATAAATTTAATGTGGATAAATGACATCTGCATAGCAAAAAATATACAAGTGAACTTAATTATTGTCTGCTCAGCTTCCCTCTGTGGTGCAAAGTGAGAGTGAATTTACAATGAACTACACACAGACAAAAGCACAGACTCTGGCTTTCAGTCAGCAACAGGCACTGCTCTGAAACAGCTCCATTTACCTGGATCAGATTTTTAAAACCACATTTCATTGCAAACAATTAGCATTTGGAAGGCTTATTTACCAGTTCTGCATCTTTTTCTGTATAAAAGACTTTAAGCATTTTCCAGTTTTCAGATCATGGAGCTGCAGGTTGGGCACCCCTGCTGTGCCATCCTTAGCAGCTGCAAAACAAAACAGCAATCTTTGAGGCTTAAATCTTTACCCCAACATCCCACCTCATGGTTCTGGTAGTGCCCAGACACCCAAAAACTCCTTGCAAGCATGCAACTTCTGCCCCTGAGGGACCAGACCCATGAGTGCTGACTGCTGTACCTATCAACCTCAGGCTGTTTGCAGAAAGAACTCACATTTGGAGGTGTAGGGCTTCTACTCCCCACTGCCAGGCTACAACCACCAACACCTGCACAGCTTTTTAATCCAAACCAAAACCCATCCTCACAGCAAACAATGGAGGCATGCTCTGCATTACAGTGTTTTGTTCTGACAGGAGCGAGGTGAGAATTTTGTCCATTCCACCATAGTCACAGCTCTCTCTGCAAGCCATGCAAAATGGTTCTGCTGCTTTTAAACGGTCTGTACACTCCTCCTGGACAGCACAGCCTGCCTGCGGCTGTCAGTGATTTACAGCAGACCCAGAACAGCTCACTAACAGCCCACAGCTTGTGCTGCCTTCTCTTTCCCTGGGTTCCCAGTCTCCCCACAGCCTGGCCAGCTCCCAAGGCCCAGCCTTGCCCAGCTCTTCCCTCCCAAGGCACCATTTACACAGTCTGGGGCTCAGTCAGGACTGCAGCTCCCAGAATCAGGAACTCGACCCCCCCCAGGGAGGCAGAGGAGGGAATACAGCTCTGGCCATGGACAACACTCCAGCCATGGGCCCCAGGGCAGGACACAACTGCTCCAGGACAGTGCACCATGTCCCTTGAACACAAGCTGCTTGCACAGCACACTGTTCCATTCCCAAAGTTTAGAAACATGTGACTGACTGCCACAGTAACCATGAGCACTGGCAGAGCCCGTGTGAGGATGGCCAACACCAGCTGCACTTGGACAATGCCATCCCTCCCTCCTCCACTGAGCTCCTGACTGCCCACAGAACTTTCTGCACCCTCTCTGTACTGCTCACTTGGCCAACAAATGTGCCACAGAGGCCAGCCAGGTCCTAACTCAGACATGGGTGAAGACATGCACAAAGCCTGTGCTTCCCCAGCTGTACAATACTCACTTGTATAGGCCTGCCACGTTGCCAGAACATTATTCTTTGGCGAGAATTCAAGGCAAACTGTCTTTGGGAGGTCAAAGGAATGCAGTAACTCAGCTCTGGTGACATTAACAACATTGACTCTGGAATCAAAAGATGTTACTTCAACAAAACATGCTTACAATAGTTAATTAATAGTAGAGAGAATTGTTCAAGACATCCAGGCATGAAGAAACCAAGAAAACCACTGGTCAAAACATAACACATATTTTTGACTGCATCACATAAATGGGAGAGTGAAGTCTCTAATGCACCTGATCTATAAAAAAGGAACCTTCTAACGTTTATAAGGTGTATAGACTTATTATTTTCTGTAGACTCTACAAATACATTAATCCCAGAGACCAGGTTCTAAGAGTTACGAATAAAAAACCAGCCAAACAAAGAAAGCATATCCAGACTGCACGGGAATGGATGAATTATAAATAGGAGAAGAACAGCAAATATTTAATCTGTCAGTCAAGAAACAAAGCCACTAATGCAACAATAAACTCCATTTAAAGTTAATGCAAACACTTGCATTAACAGCAACTGCCTTTACAGAGACAAGAGTAAATGAGGTATAACTGATTCCACTTATTTCATAGAAACTAAAAATTAAGATAATAAAATGCACCCACTTTTGTCCATTGCACCAGGCAAAGAGGGAGCCGTCCTTGCTAAAAGCAACAGCTTTGCAATTTTTTCCAGAATCCCTAAGGAAATAAGAAATGCACTTAAGTATCCAATAGTGGCACAGTTACAAAAACAAACACAGCTTTCCTGCCGTGCACCTGAGGAGCTCTGTGTCACAGTGCAGTCCCCTTGCTCAGGGACTGTCACCTGGCAGCGAGCTCGGGCAAGTGCAAAGCCCTCCAAACCATCAGTTTTCTGAACTCACTTATATTCATACATTTTTCAGTGCTAGAGTCTACCTTTACTTTTCAGAAAGCAATTTCTTCTGTGCCAGTGGCAGCGGTACCTTTGGAATGCTGTGCTCTCGGTGAAACTCGGGGGCCCATTCACCATGTACAGCCCTTCGGACCCTCGCACTGCAAGAGGAAACAAACAGCTCATTTCATATGCAGGAAATGGTCCAAAGCAGATGTTTTTCTAACTCGTGAACCCTGAGACACGCACACTCTTTCCCATACCAGCTGTAAGGAAATGCCAAGGCATAACTGAGACACACCCCCGAGCGCCCATCCCACCCCTCCTGCAGCAACACCCTCTGCAGGGCAGTGCCCGGCCCAGGACGGGGATCCATCCACAGCCTCTGCCCCAGTCTCACAGTAAAACAGTTTTTCTCATGCCTAAATGCAGTTTCCCAAAGTTCACGTACACTACAGCCCCGAGAGATCCTAAGGGAACCTTTTAACACACCTTAAAACCGACCCACGAACTGCGCAGCCCTGCCTGGAACGTGTTCTCCAGCCTTTCTGTCACGCTCCCCATCAAGATCCAAATTTACAACAGACGGTAGCGAGCCGCCCAAAATCTACCCTGAACACCTGCAGCCCCCACAGACCCGAGCGAGGGAAACCATATCGGTGTTTGAAGCTTACAGAAGAGAAAAATACACATCGCTTAAGTTAAGGACAGTGAGATATTGAAAAGGACCACGACTTTTGGAAAGACCTTCACTGCAGTGCAAAGCCCACAGACCGCAGCGGACACGTCACGGGCTCCGGGAGCCGCGTCCCGCGGCGCTGCCCACGCACCGAGCCGAGCCCGCGAACGCTCCCCGGGTACCCCGCGGTAAATCACCCGCGGCTGAAGCACGAATCCCCGGCACGGGGCCTCGAGAGCTCCCGCGGGGGAGGCCGGCGGCGGGGCCGCTGCTCGGCAGAAGGGTCGGGGTGAGCACCGGCAGCCCTGGGGAGGGTCCGGCCGCGCCCTGGCTACTCCGGGCCGAGCGAGCACAGGACCCGGCGAGCCCTGACCAGTGCCAGGAGCTACACCGTCAAGAATTCCACGACCCGGGCCGGACTTGGCCACACCGCGGCAGCGCACGCTGGGGAGGGGACGCGCGGCGGACGCCGACGGGCACCGGAGGAGCTCCGGGCCGCCCCAGCCCAACTTCGCCCTCGCCCCCCGCGCACCATCCCCGACTCCGACACCGCTCGGGCTCGACGCCGCCTGGGCCCGACGCACCTGCGAGCAGCGGCGTGGGCGGCGCCATCTTGGCGCGCGGGCGGAGCGCTGTTTCCGGTTCCGGGGCGGTGGCGGCGCAGCGGCCGCAGCGCGCGCCACGTTCCCGGGCGGGGCGGGCCTCGGCAGCGCGTGCGCGGGTTGGCGCGCGCGGGCCCCGCCCCCGGCGCGCTCCCGGCGTGCGGAGCGCGCGGTGCTGACGCGGCAGCGGCGGCCGGGCCGGACCGGGCCGAGCGCGGACATGGTGGCCAAGCAGCGCATCCGCATGGCCAACGAGAAGCACAGCAAGAACATCACCCAGCGAGGGAACGTCGCCAAGACCTCGGTGCGCGGGGCCGGGCCGAGCCGGGTGGGCACGGGCGGGGGTGGCGGGGCCGGGCCGCGCTGCGCTGACGGCGGTGCTGTGCTCGCAGAGAACGGCCCCGGAGGAGAAGGCGTCGGTCGGGCCTTGGCTGTTGGCTCTGTTCATCTTCGTGGTCTGCGGATCAGGTGAGCGGCCGCGCGCGGGCGGCCGGGTCTGGCGGTGGCTGCGGGCCCCGGTAGCGGCTCGGGCCCGGTACTGCCCTGTCCAGGCCCGGCACTGTCCCCTCGGGCCCGGCACTGTCCCTGCGGACCCCGGTACTGCCCTGCCCGGGCCCGGTACTGTCCCCTCGGGCCCGGTACTGCCCCGTCCGGGCCCCCGAGCGCTGCTGGCGCTGCCCGGCGAGCGCTCCCCTGTCGCTCTCTTGCAGCCATCTTCCAGATCATCCAGAGCATCCGGATGGGCATGTGAGGGGCCGGGCTCGGGCCATGCCCGCCGGCCCCGGGGCCGCGGCGGCTGCCGAGGAGCGGCGCGCGGCACCGGCCGTGTCGCATTCCAGGTCCCTTCACGAGTCATTCCGAGTTTTCTAGCCCGTGCCACAGTGCCTTGAACAGCACCACATGTATAAAGCAATAAAAGTCTGTTGTTGATCTACAATCGTGGACCTACTTATTCGCTGAAGATCCAGCCTGGTCTCTCTAATACGTGGAGCTATACGCGACCTAGGTCCGTAGGAACTGCCACCTGTTGTAAACACCGGTCCCAGAGCAGTGTCACCCTCGCTGTATAGCTGGAGATGGTTGGTTTGACGCTGGAAGCCAGGATTCCTGTAGAGGCTGGAGCCCGACTGTGCAGCATGTTCCCGAGGAGCCTCTGCGGGCTCCGCCGCCCCGCCGTGCGTCCCCCGTGTGTGCAGGCTGGGCCCACTGCAGCATGTGGCAGTGCTGGCGCTCTCCTCACACCACGGCACCGCCTGTAGCTTTGTCCTAATCCACGCAAAATGCTTGTCTGTGTAGGGGTAGTGGGGTAGTGAGGAACCGGCACGGCCGGGCTGCAGCTGCTCCCAGCACGACCCGGTGCTGCAGCGTGGTGGACTGCGGGAGCACCTGGCCAGACCTGCGGCTCCCCAAGCCTCTCCCGGCCGTGCCTGTGCTGTAAATATTTCTTGGACAACTTTCAACAAGTGGTGATAGTTTTAAATTTGACAATGTTGTGTGGGAATATTGGGTGCGGGGGGGGACACGCTGCTCCCCTGCCCACAGTTCTGCTTCTGTATGTGCAGCCCCTGCAGAGTGTGGTGTGTCTTGCAATATATATTTAATCCTATTTAAGGTAAAACCTGCCTTCAACTCGATTTCTTTTAACAATGGATCCAGTACTTACTTGCTTCCCTACTGGTGATCACAGTTCCTTCTTCTGTAGACGACTGTAACTTGAGATCACATGGAAAATGCTGCTATTGATCATATTTCCCTGCTGATGGCCCTGACTCCTGCTGGCTCTGCTGTCTGTGTGGTGACAAAGGTGGTGGGAATTGCTGCGTGGGGTGCACACAGTCACTAAAGGAAGATTTCTTTTCTCCGGGTTTCTTAGTAGAAGACAAATTTTAAGTCTGGTTACACAAGAAATAATAGAAAGCTAAATGGGTTGAGGTTAATGAAATGCCTGTTAGCTGCGAGGGAGCAGATCTTTTGTACGTGTTGTATTTCCATATGGAGCCATTGGGACTGGGGGGAGCCAGCGCAGCCCAGCCTGGGGCCACCAGGGCACGGGGACCTTGTGCTGGGAACTCGTGTGCTGTGGCAGGGGAAGTCTGTATAATCGCTGATTTTAAATAAAGTTCTTTTCAAACGCAAGTTGTGTTCACTCTGACGTGGGCGAAGCAGGGCTCTGCTGGGTGTTGGGACTCGGCCATTCACTCATGCACGGATTAATTGGCTTTTCCCATGGGGCACCCCCGTGCTCAGCTGTCAGGGTGCTGGGCCAGGGTGGGACCTCAGGGCCTGAGCTGGGGCTTCCAAGGCTCTGGATATCCCAGCTACTTCTCCCCTTCCCTCTGGGGACCCGCAGGGGTTCAGCAGGTGCCTTCACCTCACCTCTTGTCTCTCTGCCCCTGGGACTGCCCCAGGGCTCTGACCCGTTCCTGCTGTTGCTGCAGGAGTCATTGGCTGTGCCAGCACAGCAGCCGCTCCAGGGCCGTGGGAACCTTCAGGGTGGTTTGGACAAGCTGGTTCTCCAAAGTCCAGTAAATTCCTGCTCTGGTACAAGCTGGCCGCAGAGGTGTGTGCAGCGCTGTGCCCTGCACTGCCGCTTGTCTCTGGGGTCAGGGGCAGCAGCTGCAGCCAGAGCTGGGGCTGCGTGGGGGCAGCTCTGGAGGGGCCTTCTGGCTCCACACATCCAAGTAGAAAAGCTGGGAAACACCACGCTTGTTTCTTTCTGAAGCCTACCGGGCAGTACCGCGGTTTATTCCCCCCGTGAGGTGCAGGCTGGCAGTGCCGGCAGTGCCGGGCGCTGCCGTGACAGCCGCGATGCTCGGGGGCTCAGCGGAGCTGCGCTCCTTCAGCTGACGTCATTTACCACCTGCAACACACTTGTGTCTCAAATTTATTTATTTTTTCTTTTCTGCTGTGAAGCCTTCTCAAGGCTGGCTGCAGTAACGCATCGGGAGGGGCACAGGCTTTGCTGCCCAAGGCGAGAGGTCCCTGCAGTCGTGCCCGGCCTCTCACAGCTGCCGGAGCCGCACAAAGCGCGGCAGCCACGGCCCCGCCTGTGCCCGTGTCCGTGTCCGCCCGCCGGTGCACACGCAGCACACGGGGGGACCCGGCAGCGGCAGAGCCACCCAGGAATAATCTCGTGGAGAGGGAACAGCCTCAGAGCCGAGCGGGAGCTCCGGGACAGCCCCAGAGCCGGGCGGGAGCTCCGGGACAGGGGGCGAAGCGGAACCGGTGCGAGGAAGCGGCGGCGGATCCGGGGCTGCGGGAACGGGACCGGGACGGCCCCGCCCCGCCCCACAGCGCCGCCTCGCGGCCGCCATGAGCCCTGCAGGTCCCGCTGCGCCACGGCCGGACCCGCTGGGGAAAGATCCC